TCATGGTCTTTACCTCTGTGCTCATATTATCGCTTCTCCCTCTCTTTGACTGGACTTTGGGAGCTCAGCCCAGTGCTTCCCTGTGGATCTCTGCATCTGCTTCCATCAGTGCTGGATGAAAGTTCTATGATCACAGTTAAGGTAGTCATCAATCTGACTACAGGGCAAGGCCAGTTCGGGCACCCTCTCCACTGATGCTCAGGGTTTTAGATGGATCATCCTTGTGGATTCCTGGGAATTTCCCTAGTTTCAGATTTCTTGCTAGCCCCATAGTGGCTCCCACAATCAAGATATCTTTCCTTGTTCTCCCTCTCTGTACTTCCCCCTTCTCAACCATTCCTTCCCTCACGTTCTCCTCCTTTCTTCCTTCTCACCTCCTCCTTCCCTTTCTCCATCTGCCCCCAACCCAACACTCCCAATTTTTTCAGGAGATCTTATCTATTTCCCCTTCCCAGAGGGATCCATGTATGTTTCTCTTAGGGGTCTCCTTATTACCTAGCTTCTCTAGGGTCCTGGTCTATAGGCTTTATGTCTAATGTCGAGTAAGTACATGCCATGTTTATCTTTAAGGGTCTGGGTTAGCTATCTCACTTAGGATGGATTTTTCTAGTTTCATCCATTTACATGCAAATTTCAAGATGTCATTGTTTTTTACCCCTGAGTAGTACTTCATTGTGTAAATGTACCACATTTTCTTTATCCATTCTTTGGTTGAGGGGCATCTGGATTGTGTCCAGGTTCTGGCTATGACAAATAATGCTTCTATAAACATAGTTGAGCAAATATTCTTGTAGTATGATTGAGCATCCTTTGGGTATATGCCCAAGAGTGGTATTGCTGAGTTTAGAGGTAGGTAGATTCCCAATTTTCTGAAAAATTGCCATACTGATTACCAAAGAGGCTGCATAAGTTTGCACTCTCACCAGCAATGCAGGAATGTTCCCCTTCTTCCATATCCTCTCCAGCATAAGCTATCATCAGTATTTTTTTTTAACTTAACCATTCTGAAAAGTGTAAGGTGGTATATCAGAGTTGTTTTGCTTTACATTTTCTTGATGGCTGAGGGTGTTGAGCAGTTCCTTCAGTGTCTTTCTGCCGTTTGAGATTCTGCTGTTGAGAATTCTCTATTTCAAACTGTGTCCCATTTCTTAATTGGATTATTTCGTAATTTGATATCTAGTTTCTTGTCTTGAGTTCTTTATATGTTTTTGTAGGTCAGTCCTCTGATGTGGGGTTGGTGAAGATTTGTTCACATTCAGTAGGCTGCCGTTTTTGTCTTATTGAATGTGTCCTTTGCCTTGCCGAAGCTTCTCAGTTTCAGGAGGTCCCAATTATTTATTGTTGCTCTCAGTGTCTGTGCTACTAGGATTATATTTCAGAAGTGGTCTCCTGTGCCTATGAGTTCAAGGCCATTTTCCAATTCCTCTTGAATTAGGTTCAGTGTGGTCAGATTTATATCAAGGTCTTTAATCTAACTGGACTTGAGTTGTGCATGGGGATAGGTATGGAGCAAAAAGACAACAAAAGGAAATCAAGGGGATACAAATTTGAAAGAAAGAAGTCAAACTTTCACGATTTGCAGATGATATGATAGTATATATAAGTGACCCCCAACATTCTATGAGAAGTCTATGAAAAGAATTTTCATTCTTTGACATGTTGACATCCAGTTATGCCAGCACCATTTGCTGAAGATGCTGTCTTTTTTTTTATTGTGTAATTTTAGTTTCTTTGTCAAAAATCAGGTGTTCATAGGTAGTGTGGGTTAATATCTGGGTCTTTGATTTGATTCCATTGGCCAACCTCTCTGTTTTTATGCCAGTACCAAGCAGGTTTTTTTTTTCTTTTTTTGCTGTAGCTCTGTAATAGAGCTCGATGGCAGGGATGGTGATGCCTCCAGAATTTCCTTTATTGTACAGGATTGTTTTGGCTATCCTGGGTTTTTTGTTTTTCCACATGAAGTTGATTATTGTTGTTTTAAGGTCTGTGAAGAATTGTGTTGGGATTATGATGGGGGTTGCATTGAATCTGTAGATTGCTTTTGGTAGGATTGTCATTTTTATTATGTTGATCTTAGCTATTCAAGAGCATGGGAGATCTTTCCGTTTTCTTGTATCTTCAGTTCTTGTCGTACAGGCTTTCAGTTCTTTGGTTAATGTTACCCATAGATATTTTGTCATTTGTGACTATTGTGAAGAATTATGCTTCTCTGATTTGTTTTCTCAGTTTTCTTTATCATTTGTATATAGGAGGGCTACTGAGTTTTTTTGAGTTGATCTTGTCTCCTGCCACATTACTAAAAGTGTTTTTTTCAGCTGTAGGAGTTCCCTCATAGAATGTTGGGGGTCACTTATATATACTATCATATCATCTGCAAATAGTAAAAGTTTGACTTCTTTCTTTCAAATTTGTATCCCCTTGATTTCCTTTTGTTGTCTTTTTGTTCTAGCTAGAACTTTAAGTACTATGTTGAATAGATATAGAGAGAGTGTACAGCCTTGTTTTATTCCTGATTTTAGTGGAATCACTTTGAGTTTCTCTCCATTTAATTTGACGTTTGCTGTTGGCATGCTGTATATTGCTTTATTATGTTTAGGTATGTTCCTTGTATCCCTGGTATTCCCAAGACCTTTATCCTGAAGGGGTGTCTTAAAGGCTTCTTAAAGGCTTTTTCAGCATCTAATGAGATGATCATAAGTTTTTTTTCTTTCAGCATATTTATATGTTGGATTACATTGATAGGGTTTTGAATGTTGAACCATCCCTGCATCTCTAGGATAAAGCTGACTTGATCGTGGTGGATGATTTTTTTTTTGATGTTTTTTTGGATTCAGTTTTCCAGTGTTTTATTGAGTAGTTTTGCATCAATTTTCATGGGGGAGATTGGTCTGTAACGCTCTTTGTCAGTTGAGTCTTTGTGTTTCTTTGGGGTTTGCTAGCGTGAGGTTATCTGTTGCCTTTGTTTACATGGGTACAGCTGACTTCCTTGGGTTGGAGTTTTCCTTCTAGTCCTTTCTGTAGGACTGGGTTTGATGATAGCTATTGTTTAAATCTGGTTTTGTCATGGCATATCTTGTTTTCTCTATCGATGGTGATTGAAAGCTTTGCTGGGTATTGTAGTCTGGGCTTGCATCTGTGGTCTTTTAGTGTTTGCAGCACATCTGTCCAGGACCTTCTGACTTTCATTGAGAATTTGGGTGTAATTCTGATAGGTTTGCCTTTATGTGTTACTTGGCCTTTTTCTTTTATGGCTCTTAATATTTTTTATGCTGTATGTTTAGTGTTTTGATTATATGGCATGGGGACTTTTTTTTGGTCCAGTCTATTTGGTGTTCTGTAAGCTTCTTGTACCTTCATAGGCATATCCTTCTTTAGGTTGGGAAAGTTTTATTCTATGATTCTGTTGAATTTATTTTCTGTGCCTTTGAACTGGTGTTCTTCTATCCCTGTTTTCTTTAGGTTTGGTCTTCTCATAGTGTCCCAGATTTCCTGGATCTTTTGTGTGAAGAATTTGTTGGCTTTACATTTTCTTCAATTGACCAATGAATCTATTTCCTCTATCATATCTTTAGTGCCTGAGATTCTCTCTTCTAGCTCTTGTATTCTGTTGGCTATGCTTGCATATTTACCCAGATTCTCCATTCCCAGAATTCCTTTGGCTTGTGTTTTCTTTATTGCTTCTATGTCAGTTTTCAAGTCTTGCTTCACCTTTTTGATTGGGGGGGGGGCTTTCTTTGATTTCTTGATTTCTTCCATTTTTTTGTCTTTTCCTCCATTTCTTTGAGGGAATTTTTTATTTCCTCTTTAAGGGTCTATCATTTTCATGAAGTTATATTTAAGGTCTTTTTTCTGCTTCCTCTGGGTTAGGATGTTGTTCACGTCTTCCTACTGTATGACCACTGGATCCCGGTGTTGCGATGTTGCTTTTTAGCTTGTTGAATGTATCTTTGCATTGGTACTCACCCTTCTCTTCCTCCAATTGGTGCAGTCAGTGTCTTTGCCTCTTGGTTCAATCCTTGCAGTTGGTGTCTGTGTCTCAGGGATCCTCTCTTGGACTTGTAGTTGCTGTTTGTGTCTTGGGGACTTGCTCTTTGCTCTGTGTAGTCACTGTCTGTGTCTCAGGGAGCCTTTGAGATCTTTGGGGGTGGAGTGGGACTTGTTGATTACAAGGTTCCTTAGATGGGGTTTGTTGGAGCAGTCTGCCTACAGGAGGCTTGCCTAGTGGCTGGCTAGTCCAGCTGAGGTGTTGGGGCGGGGTTGGGGTTTTGGTCCGGAGCTGAGGGCCTAGAGACTGGGCTGTTCAGCAGCGGAGCTTGTTACTCACTTCTTGGTCCATTCTGTGCAGTTGCAGTCTGTGCCTCAGCTTCAGAGGTTGTGGGGGGAATGGATGGATGGATGTGTTTAGGGGTGGAGTGAGACTTGTAGGTTACAGGGTCTGATGGGTGGGGGTTGTTGGAGCAGCCTGCCTGCAGGTGACTTTCCTGCTGGTCAGCTGGTAAAGCTGAGGCAGGTGGGGAAGGGGCCCAGGATTTTGCCCAGGCGTTCTAGGGCCTAGAGCTGGGCTGTCCAGCTGGGGAGCTGATCACTCATCTCTTGGTCCTCTCTGTGCAGTTGCAGCCTGATGACTTATGATTATTAATCATTATTTCAATCAAGTATTCATGAATATGTATTATTTCATGTGAAGAAGTACTTTCTTATCCTGAAGCTGCTTTTTCTCTTTGTTAGAGTTCCTCTTAGTGTCACAGCATTTTTTTTTATGTCGATAGAGACCGTTTATTTTTTTCATTTTATTTGTTTGCTTTTTGAATGATTTCTCTGTGTGACAGCCCTGGCTATCTTGGAACTCTCTTTTTAGACCAGGCTTTCCTTGAACTCACAGAGATCCACCTTTCACTGCCTCTTTAAGTGCTGAGATTAAAGGCCAGTACACCCAGCTCCTTTATGATTTTAGATATGGGATATATTTGATGATTATTTGCCTTTTTTTTATTCTTAAGCAACAAAGCTGTTAAGGAAAATGACAAAGAAAAAGTAAAAGAGAAAGAAAAAGAGAAAAAAGAAAAGACTCCAGCTACAACTCCAGAGGCCAGGGTACTTGGTAAAGATAGTAAAGAAAAACCAAAGGAAGAGCGGCCAAATAAAGATGAAAAAGCAAGAGAGACAAAGGAAAGAACACCTAAGTATGACAAAGAGAAAGAAAAATTCAAGAAGGAAGAAAAAGCAAAAGATGAGAAATTCAAGACCACCATTCCCAGCATAGAATCAAAATCTACTCAAGAAAGAGAAAGAGAAAAGGAGCCATCCAGAGAAAGAGATGTATCAAAGGAAATGAAGTCAAAGGAAAATGTTAAAGGAGGAGAAAAAACACCAGTTTCAGGGTCCTTGAAGTCACCTGTTCCCAGATCAGATCTCTCAGAGCCTGAAAGGGGCAAGTATACCTTTTTTATATTTCTGTACTTTTGCTCTAATTATGCTTGTTCGTTGTCTCATTGCCTTGATAAGTTAGTGATTTTGCTAGTGCAACAAATGCTTGATCTTAAAAGTTGTTCACTTTTTGAAGTGTTTGGAACGACTAGAAATGTCCTTTTTCTGACTATTTCTTTTTGTCCAAACAGAACAAAAACGCCGCAAAATTGATACCCATCCTTCTCCATCACATTCCTCCACAGTAAAGGTTAGTATAGCCTGAGGAAGGCAGCATCCGTATTAGGCTCACCTGTTTGGAATACCAATGTGTTCTGACTTCGTTCAAGTCTTGTGCCAAGTATTCACAAGGAATCTTCAGCAAAGGTTTGAGTCTTTTAAAATCATGCCTAAGTATACCAGAAATTCTTAACTTCTTTTAAGTTAGTAGGTGCCACCACCCTAGTAAATTGTGTATGCTAGGATTGGTGGGAGAGAGCATTCTCTTTCTTTATGTAGAATCACCTTATAAATTCTTACCACAAACAACAACCATAAAAGCACAGATAACAATGGTCCTTTTAGAGACATTGTTAGATGTGTGATGTTGTAGTAATTTTATATATTCTTGCTTGCTGTATTATGTATTTTTTATGCTTTAAAATCTGGAAATTTGATAAGATTTGGGAAATGGAGAGTTACTGATTTGTTCGGGATGGGTGGTAGGTAGGCTTACATAGTTTTCACAGAACAAACTTGTCAGTTTTCTTACTGTGTTTATAGATAACTCAGAAAAACAAAAAGTAATTTGCTGCACTCATAGCTTTTAAAAGCTAAATCCATCTCAATCCATAAATTTCTTTATGTGTCCTTCTGCTGAAGTATCCTTTTAGTAGCTGTGGCATAAGACCAGGAGTTAGAGTAAATATAAAATAATCTTTCTTTTGGAAAGGAGTACTCAATTTGATGGCTATGTTTAAATGTCAGTATTAATTCTTTGCTTTTTTACACTACTCTCTTGGGTATTCTGATCCTTAAAAACAGTGTGTAGTTTGTGTATTTTTATGAAGTTCATTTTGGTATTATATTTGAATTGTCTGTTTTTCATGTCATTGTGTCTTATTATAAAATCTGTACCCTTTTCTACTTTATGTCTTCTACTTACATACTAAGTATGATTTTTTTTACTTATGGACCATTTTGAAATGGCTATATAATTTTATTTTTAGATAAAATGCCTGTAGATTCTGAGCAAAGAATTACTAGTTATTTAATGGTTTAGATAGCCAAAATGCCTGTGTCCTAAATATATGGCATTGTTTTTAAGATAACCTATTATTTGAAAGATTATCCACTGTTATGAGTATTTTGTTTTAAAGTAAAACCTTTTTATTGACTATCATAAAAACGTACTACAGTATAGTAGGTCTTTGCAGTCAGTTTGAGATTGTATTTGTCAGTTTTACCAATCAGTTTCTTGTGTGGGCTATTTTATATCCATGGGCTTGTAATAGTCTTAATTTTTTAGCATTTTTTATTAAGATATATGTAGAATTGGTTTGAAACCTGATGCTAAGATTAATTAGATTTTCTTGTCGGTGATGAAGATTATGATTTCTTGCATTTGTCGTGAAGATTATGTTTTGTCATTTTTGCACATCTAGATAATATATATGGTCTCATCTCATGCTTTTAATAGTACAATGAGTTAAATAGGGCAGATAGTAGTGTCTTTTTGACAAATGAGAGATTGAACTATTCCCAATGGCACACAATTTGTCATTACTGAAAATGTGAGTTAAAATCAAGGTTTCCTGTTCTCAACATCCATCTCAATAATAGCTGCAAAGGTTTTCTAGTGTCTTTAGTGAGTTTATATTATTTTTTAAATATGGTAATTGAAGTCAGTTTAGTTAATATTATTCTTAAATGTGGCAATTGAGGTCAATTTATCAACATTTTCGTGCAGGAAGATTTTTGTGGGTATTTGAAATTCAGTAGACTATTTCACATGGAACCAGAAAAATTTGAAAGTGGCATATACTATGCAATTAAAACTTAGAGACTCATTTTGTTTTTCAGATCCTTAGGTTAGCATGGGATCTTAGAGTAAGGTTTAGTCACTCAACAAATACTTTAAATGAACTCGTAAAGCCTTTGGTAAGCAATCCAAAGTAGTGTTTTTGTATAGCAGCTGATTTTATAATTTTGAATGTATTAAAAATCTAAATGCATTTGAATGGTTCGGTATAAAAATTTTCCTGGACTTTGAGCAGTCTTTATACCCTCACTGCTTCTGGGACAGCTTCTACTTCTAGAGGTTTTGCTATAAGATATGTGTCTCTCTTTCCTGTTACCTTGTTACTTGTACATATAAAATTGTTTCCTTGATTTTATTTTGATATTTTTAGGTTATTATTTGCCCCCAGAATTTTCTTTCTTAATACTTATTGGGTATTTTTACTTTCTAATTCATAGTAAAGTAATGCATGAATTTAATATTTTAATGAGATTAAACGATGACTAACCTAAAATAGAACTCATATGTTTTGTCGGCCCACCTTCCAATCCAGTTTCCACCTCCCATATTTCTGCTGGGGATCAGTTGTGCTTTGGTGTAGCAATACTAGCAGCTATGTATAGTGACGAGTCTAACCAGGCCTTGATTTTGAAAGTTGGCTAAATTCCTTTATTAGATATTAATGGTCTCAATATAAGGAAATAAAATCAAACTAGGAAAAAAATCCTATGTTATTACCTCCAGAGTGTTCTAACACATCTTTAACTTTATTTGACAACTACGTATTAAACATTCTTCATATGTACTAGCCTCTAAGAAGCATAAAAAGTGGAAAAGGCATCTAGTTCTTCTGGACTAGAAGCAATTATGTACAGAAATAAGTCACTTGAGATTCATAAGGAAAGCCCATTACAGAAATGGCAGATGAATAAAACAAAGTGTCCACTAGGAAGTGAATTGCAGAGCTGAGAGATAGTTTAGTTGCAGATTGCTTTCAAGCTATCTTAGAAAAACAAAGAATTTTAAGATAAATGTAATTATTCATTCTTAAAAGGTAAAAGGGATGAAAGTTAGGGACTATTGATAGCCATAGAACATTAGGTTGCTGTATGGTAGGATACATTTTGAAGATTATACAGTGTGCTTAAGATGCCTAAACAAAGACCTATGAATTCCACTTATATTAGGTGATGAGAAACTATGCTTTGTAGAAAAAGGTGTTGTGGTCACACTTATTATATTAGAAAGGCAGAGAGGAGGAAATGAATATAGAAATATATTTCTAAACCTAGAATTTCTGATTGTATATCAGTTTAACTATTTGTCATTTTATGTGAACAGTGAAGGATTTGAGTATTAATGCCAGAAATCCCAGAGAAGTTTCTCAATTCCAAACAGTACAGATTTAAATAGGCATGGATAAAAATGTTGTTTGGGTCGGGGGATGAGGGTACTCTTGTAGTAGGAGAAATGAAGCAGCACTTTCTTAAAGAGATTGTTGAGTGTCTCAGTAATATATTATTGAGTTTGTCTCATCTAGTTCATACATAATATTAAAATGCAGGAAAAGGTGTGAATAGATTTCACAATTAGAAAAATCTTAAGTGTCATTTAAAGCATATTCTGCAAGAGAGTCTTTTAGATTGTCTCTTTTATGGGTTATTCTCTTAATCCTGTTATTGATAAACACTGTTTTAAGTCATTCTTCAACTTTTAAACATAATTTTTTTAAAAGAATGGACTTACTAGTAAAATTGCTTTGATAATATTTCTCAAATGTTTGGTATTGTTGAAAGAATAAGTGTTTAACCTTTAAATTTATAGTCCTTTCTTCTTGCATTTTTTCAATTATTAAAGGATTTATTACTGTAAAATATTTTACCTTTCATTCACTATTCTATTTCTTCTTAGGGTATATCTAGAATTATGTAGCTATATTATGAGTTCTATTTATTATTCTTTGAACATATCAAATGAAACATCAACTTGTACCCAATTATACATGCCATAAAGTTAGGGATTTGATTATTTTCTGACTTCTTCCTAAATAGTTGTTTTCCATATTTCCAACTCCCATAAGTAGGATTTTTCTCTCGTTTATACTCAAATATACCATTTATACTCAAATATACCTTGATATCTGGCTATTTTATCACCAATAGACCTTTTCACCTAGAATAATTTTTATATCACTTTTCAGTCTTTCAAGTAGTTTAGTCACCCTCAGCTTACCTGATGCTTGATTTCCTGAGCTATTTAGAACCAGTAAGTTAGAATTTACTATTGTGATTATTTGATAAAGTTGCAGGGCTTTCAGTTTAGAGACTATGCATCAGTCTTTATATGTATAAACAATATTTGAGATAATCACTGCCTGGTTTATATCTAGTAAAATTGTGGCTAGGTTTTATTTGTACCTTTTTGTCCCCTGTTGACTGATGTTTCTGTCCTGCCTGGTCTCGCAGTTGTTCAGTCCCAAAGAAACACACAGAGGCCTACATTAATTATAAACTGATTGGCCTATTAGCTCAGGCTTCTTATTAACTCTTATAACTTATATTAGCCCATAATTCTTATATGTGTTAGCTATGTGGCTTGGTACCTTTATCGGCTAGGCAATCACTTCTTGCTTGCTCTGTGTCTGGGTGATGACTTCAGACTGAAACTTCCCTCTTCCCAAAATTCTCATTGTTCCACCTCTATTTCCTGCCTGCCTACTGGCCAATCAGCATTTATTTAAAATACAAGTGACAGGGTACCGACTATGTCCCACAGCAGCCCCCTGTTATTGACTCCCTATTATTAGATGATTAGACCTTCAAATATTCATGACTGCATAGGGATTTGTGTTTTATCTTTTTTACAGCAGAAAAGTCCAGTTGCTGTTTTTCACATATCAACGCTTATAGACTAGAAGAACATGGAGAATGCTGGCTTGTGAATTTACTATGAAATGTCAGTTGAGCCAATAGTGAATTGGGTAAAAATGGGAATCTTTATAGGGCCCAGGAATAAAGCCTTTGTATATGCATCACATTCTTTTATTTTAGCTCAGATAAAACAGGCCGATAACTAGTTCTGACTATATATAATTACCCATTATCTTTCATTTAATAAACGAAGATACCGAAGGCTGTCAATACTGGAAAACTAATAATCTTTAGTAATATTGCCTTAATTTTAACAGCTCTACATTAATCATACTCCTCCACCACTGTCCAAGAGTAAGGAGAGAGAAATGGACAAGAAAGATTTGGACAAGTCAAGGGAAAGATCCAGAGAAAGAGAGAAAAAAGATGAAAAGGACAGGAAAGAGCGGAAAAGGGTTTGTAATTTTTAAAAATTAGCTTGGAACGCCTTTTTCATGCATATTAATGTATTTTCTGCTTTTAAAAAATACTGCTTTATTCCATAGCAGTCTCTTTCAAGTTTTAACTGGTATAGTCACCCTAAAGTGTGTTTGCATTTTCTACACTAATAAGGAACTTCAGCTTAGCAATCTCTTTCATGCCATTTTACCAAATATGTGGTACTACAAATATCCTCCAATGCTAGTTAGTGGTGTCTTTCTTGTATAAAAATACTTCAAAACAGAACAGCACAAATCAAAAACTATAACCCTTGATCAATGTAGTTCACAATTCTTGGTTCTAGGATCACTCAAACAATGACCGTGAAGTGCCACCGGACATAACAAAGAGGCGGAAAGAGGAAAATGGAACAAGTAGGTAGACTTACTGATACCTTGGAAGCAATCATCAGAGTGAATTGGAAAAGCCTTTCATTATTCTCTTTTGTAATTTTAGTGGGGGTTTCAAAACACAAAAGTGAGAGTCCATGTGAATCTCAATATCCAAATGAGAAAGACAAAGAAAAAAATAAGTCAAAATCTTCAGGCAAAGAAAAAGGCAGTAGTGATTCGTTTAAATCTGAGAAGATGGATAAAATCTCCTCTGGTGGCAAAAAGGTAAATTAGGAACACAAAAGAACTGTATAGTTTTTGGAAACATGTATTTTATTATTTTATGAGAATGTCATATATAAATACTGTATTTATATAATTTCTACCCCATGCTACTGACTTCCTGTCTTCCTGTGTCTTTCCTAAACACCCTCTAAACTTCATTACTTCTTCTTTATTATTGTTACACCTATATATGTACCTATAAATAAAACCTGCTGAGTCCTTTTAATGCTGTTCATATGCATATGTGTTTAGGCTGATTACTTGTGATTGAATAACATATCAGAGGCCTTTTCCTTTGAGAAGACTGATTGTCTTGCTCTCTCAAAGCAGCCATTAATTACATGTGGCTCTTAGGGCCTTGGGAGGAAAATACTCACTCTTATAAATTTAGTGCCTCGGTGTATGTATGTATATTCCTGCCAGATAATCATTTGCTAATTATTTGGCATGGGAGCAGAAGGCTTGGGAGTGGGCAGGTACTCTGATTGCGAAATTGGAGATTCATCAGTCCTAAATTACTGTGAAGTTAGAATTAGTGTGCTTCTGAAGTTCTTTTTCTCTCCATTTTACTCTGTCCACTTCAGTTCTTTATGTTTACTTCTACAGAGTTCTTTTAGTTTCTCTTTATTTGTGAGATATGCCTATGCATGTATAAAGTGCATTCTTATATACTGATTAATATTCAAATCTCAATCATGCTCCATAGAATAACTGATAAGCCACTACTAAGTTGTTTGTAAACTGTTTACATAGCATTACTGTAAATGTTAAAAATGTGTAGTGTACTTACATTTTTTAAATGTTTTAGAAAAGTTAATAGTGGATAATTTAATTCTGTAGGCTTCCAAAAAGAAGGCTGTTTCTTTTCAGTGTTTTTCAGTTGACATAAGGTTCACATAGATTAATGAAAGTCATCAGTTCTCAGCCTCTGGGTCGTAGCCCATTTGGCACACCTCTATCTCCAAAAACGTTTACATTATGATTCATAACAGTAGTAAAATAAGTTATGAAGTAGCAACAAAAATAATTTTATAGTTTGGGGGAATCACTACAACATGAACTATATTAAAAGGTCACACAGCATTAGGAAGGTTAAAAACCATTGAATTAATTTGCAATATTGTACACTTGGTGTTTGTTTGGTTCCAAAACATTATAATTGTCCCAAAGGGGACCCATGGGCTCATGATACATTCATTTCCCACTTTGCCTTCCCCAGTCCTTGGCAACCACTAATCTTTCTGTCTCTGTGGAGTTGCCTATTTTTAATGTTTCATGTAAGAATTATAAAATAATATAGCCTTTTATGTCTGCCTTTTAAGAATGATTTTGAAGTTCTTCCATATTGTAGTATCTGCCATTACTTAATCTCTTCTTATGACTAAATAATGTTTCATTATATGAACATACCACATTTGTTGGTGGATTTTTGAGACAGGACTTCCCTTTGTATCCCAAGCTGGCTTGGAGCTTCCTTAATATCTTGGCCTAGCCTTAAACTTGCAGTTCTCCCACCCCAGCCTCTCTAGTGCTAAGATTACAGGTGTAAGCTACCACAGCCAGCCAGCTGTTGAATTTTTAGAATGTTGCCACTTTTTTGGTTATTATGAAAAATGTTGCTGTGACCATTTGTGTGTTAATATGAAATAATCCATTTGACTATCTTCAATGTTCTTAGGATAGATAGATAGATAGATAGATAGATCGATAGATAATTTTGTTTAGCGTTTTTGAATTGCAGCCAAGCTTTTCCATGGTGGCTGTATAGTTTGCAGTCCTACTAGCAATATATCAGGGTGCAATTTCTACATATCCTTGTCAACATTGGCTACTTTTTATTTTTAGTTTAATCATAGGCATCCTAGTGAATGTGAGTAGTAATTCATTGTGTTTTTGATTTGCATTTGCTCAGTTGACTAATGATTTCAACTATCTGTCTTTCTATGTATCACTATATCTTTGGAGAAATGTCTTCACATTCTTTCACTGTTTTCAAAATGAATTTTCTTTTATGGCATTCACTTTTAAAAGTTCTTTTGACATTTTGGATACTTGACTGCAATACATCTTTTGCAAATACCATTTTCTGTTCTTTCCTGTAGTATATGACTGCTTTTTTTTTAGTTCAGTATTCCTACTTTTTCTTTTGTTACATGTGGTTTTCATGTCAATATTAAGCAAATTTTTGAAGAAAAATATGACTGGTGGATGAACGAAGGGAATTTCAAGCTGTTTTTAAGAAACGTATTTTATTTTTTTGCTTCCCCAACTAATTTCATGATTCTTTATAGGAATCCAGGCATGATAAAGAAAAGATAGAAAAGAAAGAGAAACGGGATAGTTCAGGAGGAAAGGAAGAGAAGAAACAATATCCTTTTCATTTTTATATTTCACTCACTGTAATAGTTTGATACTGTTCATATTTCGAATTAAACCTTTTTTGTATGTAGTCTATATATGCAGTAGCTTAGTGGTTTTAAAGTGAAATTTGTACTTAACCTTCAATGTATGATCTGAAAACAAGAGATTTGATCTTCTTGACTTTAAAAATAATTTTGTAGTGCACTGAGATGTTTTATGGCACAAGTTTTATAAGCTCTGTGTATTTTTGTTGTTGTTATCCCCTTGTATTGTTACTATGAGAAAAAAGGAATAGTGAATCCCTTGGGCTGTGGAGCATGGTGACTACATCAGCAGAATGATGTGACACATAAGTTGAGCTCCTAGAATTTGAGTTAGTAGACCAATGAGAGCCAATTAATTAGACTTAGAAGCCTAAGGGGTTAAACCAAAAGTAGGACACTATTCTTCCCTGTCCCAACGTTGTTTTCCCTTAATTTGTCATCTACTCATAAGTCCTCTGACAAGCACAGATAATGAACACTTTCAACCAAGGTGAGTATACTCTCCCTTCCTTTTCATTTAGAGATAACACCTAAACGAGGCCTGAAAATGGTAAAGGAATTGGATTCTTTTTGCAGGATACAGTTACTTGATTTTTTACCTGAATATAATGACAAAGTCTTTTGTGTATAGATATAAAATTTGTAGTTATTTTTAAACTTTAAGCTTGCTGGTTAGTCACACTTAAAAAAGAATCAAGATATAGTTGAGAGCATCTGTCTTTCTCTTCGCCACATAGTCCCACCTTTCCTGGATAATTATGTTTTTAAAGCACCAGTAGCCCAATAAGTGATAGTGATATTTGTACTTTATAGGAGAAGAAATCAAAACTCTGAAAGATTAAAGCAGGTCACAGATACATTAGAAAATGAAGTTGATACTTAAAAGGGCAAGACTTTAGTGTTTTCTCTTCTTTGGGCCTTTAAGTTTTTGTGCCTTTCTTTCTGCCGCTGTCCATGTTTTGCAAAGTTAGATACTAAGTTCTGGACTTTTAGCTATATTTTAAATAGGCAAATTTGTTTTCAAGGTGATGCATTTGCTTTGTGTGATACATAAAAGTTATATGCTCACCATCATGGACAGACTGACTGTTCATATCCTAATATAGCTTATTTTTTGTTGAGGACTTAAAGTCAGCATCTGAATGGTTACTCTTGATGTTTGAAGATTATTGATACAGAATGATTTGTCTCCTCCATTAATGATTCCAGACAGATATAGCCGAAGTTCACTTTGCTTTTTATAGTTCATTTTTTTTACTTCCATTGTAATGGTCACTTCTTATTAATATTACACATATATCCAGTATTTATAACTTATCTCTAATCTGAGCTGCTTTTAATCGTTTATGGAACAAGATATATAACAAACCTACTTAGGGTTATTTAAGGGTGAGAAATGTCTGGAGGGCAATTGACTATAACGGTTTGGTTTAGGATGTGGGTTTTGTCATATTTATTTTAGTTGCAATGCAGGAATTTGAGGTTATCTGATAAATGACCTAAGGAAAGGTATGTTTTTTTTTCTGCCCTGTTTCTTCCTGCTTATTATCCAAATAGTAGAGCAGGATAAGTAGTAGTACAAAAAAATTAGCATTTAGTAGTTTTTTTCTCTTATTCCTCAAGGCCCTGGCTGACCTTGAACTTAATATGTAGACCAGACTGGCCTTGAAATCACAGAAATTTACCTGCCTCTGCCTCCTGAGTGTTGGGATTAAAAATATATACCACCCTACCTGGCTAATAGCCTTTTCTTACTTTTTGATTAGGAAGATTGTAGAAAAAAATAGTATTACTCAGTCTTCTAGGCATCCTTCCTACTGTCTCCCCTGGGGAACCATATATATATATATATATATATATATATATATATATGTTTATATACAGTATATATTATATACATACCATATATTGTTTTTATTCTAATATTAACCTTTCTTAAAAATTATTTTTATTTCATGTTTATTTGTGGTTTTGCCTGCATGTATATCCAGATGAGTGTGTCAGATCCTCTGGAACTAGAGATACAGACAGTTGTGAGCTGCCATATGGGTGCTGGGAATTGAACCTGGGTCACCTGGAAGCGCAGCCAGTGCTTTTAACCACTGAGCCGTCTCTCCAGTCCCTTTCTTTTAATTTTAAATTCTTATTATTTAACATGCTGCATCTCTATGAAGATTCTATGAAGTTTTTATTAGGAATGGATCAACCATAGTCACTGACAACTTTCACTGTGACTCTTTATGTATCTATTTTCTCTCAGCATCTCAGTTTGCCTTTTTAGTCATGAAACTTTTGGTACAGATTTCTATGAGTTATTCTTATACTGGCCATGAAATATCCCTTGGACCAAAAGGTGGGGTCTGTAGGACTGGACAGGAATAAATGTTTGACATCTTGAAGTAAATCTTCTTGAACCTGATAACTATTTACAGATATATTTATTTTCTTGACAATTTTGTCACACATGCTTTCTTCTGGGGCAGACTCTTACTCTTGGGAGGCTGTGATTGATTTTCTTCTTTTGATTATTTTCTGGCTGCCTCTGTGTTTGGCTTTGTTCTGTGATTGGGCAAGCTATTTCTTTCTTTTGGATCAGGAATCTCATTTTCTATGGTACTGTTGTCTATCTGCAAGGTGAATCTAAATCTGCTTTTCTTGTTCCCGTTTACTTGTTTCCTATACAGAAAGGAGAGCCGCTGACACATCACATTGTCATTATTTTATCCTATCACTGATTTAAGATTTTCTTGTTGGTATTTAGAATAGTTGTTTCGGGGGAGATGGTCAAGAAATTACTCTGCTTTGTTGTACCTGTCATCCCAAGTACATACATATTACAATGATCACATTAGAATCAAGAATTTATATTTATAAATATAAATTTATATATATATAAATGAATATGATTTAGATTATTTTCATTTCAAAGTCTCTTGTCCTGGCCCCTAGTTTTAGCTCCAAAATTCTTCTGTTTTGTTTTTTACCTGCAAAATCTTTCTCCAAATTCTCCCTCTCCTAGATTTATTGCTTTGAATATCACTAGTTGCTTTTGTCTTACATTTTGTTTTACTTTAATCTTTAAAAGTCCTTGCCTGAAGCTCAGGATGTAGCCCAGTGGTAGACTGTTTTTCTAGCAATGCAAGGTCCTAGGTTCAGTCCCCAACCCCAAAGTGCAGGAAACAAACAAACCAAAAACTCCCACTTACTAAATCATTATCTAACAACTATCCTATGACTTCTGAATTGCTACTTGGTATATGTGGCTGTTGGGGGAAGCTGCTTGTTCATTTTCCGGCTGCCTAGACTCTTGAAATAATCACACAGAAACTGTATTATTTAAATCACTGCTTGGCCCATTAGCTCTAGTTTCTTATTGGGTAATTCTTACATCTTAATTTAGCCCATTTCTATTAATCTGTGTATCACCACATGGAGTGGCTTACCAGGTAAAATTTCTGTCTCCTGCGGCTTCATGGCTTCTTCCCGACTTTACCCTTCTTCCTCCCCGCATTCAGTTCCATTTTCCCTGCCTACCTAAGCTTAGCCGTATCAACAGACCAAGGCAGTTTTCTTTATTCATTAATGGTAATTATAGCACATAGAGGGGACTCCCACATCACATTTCTATTAATCTGTGTATCGCTGTGTGATTGACTTACTGGCAAGCCTCAGGCTCCATGGTTTCTCCTCACTCCTCCTCTTTTCCAGCATTCAATTTAGTTTTCTCCACCTAGCTCTATTCTGCCCTATCACAGGCCAAAGCAGCTTCTTTATTCATTAACCAAAAAAAGCAACACATATACAAAAGGACTTCCCACACCATGTGACCCACAACTCATATCCTATTCTATTCATACTTTAAGTATTTTTAACCTTCCATTCCAGTAAAACCATTTTTTTCTTACTTTTAGTCTCATATGTAACTGATTCTTTCATCCTCCAAGTCTGATTCTGCAAGTTTCCAGTCCTTGAACAAAATTTGGTTTGTTAGGTGAGGTCTTAGTCTCACATGAGGTTTAAGAAGACATTGTTATATTTATTTGTTGCTTGGTTTGACATAGGCTCTTACTGTGTATTCCAAGCTAGTCTGGAACTCACTGTGTTGCCCAGGTTGCTATTAATTTCAATAGCAATCTCCCAGTTCAACCTTGTTAGTGCTGTGCCATTCTGCTAAAACACTAGATTTTAATAGCCTTTAACGATTCAGAAAAATTCTCCAGTCAGGGTCTCAGTTTCTTTTGATTAATTGAAACATTTGACATTGTGTTCTGATTTCTGCATAGCAGCAATCAAGCTTCGACCTACATGCTTTCCCCCTAGAACAAGGCTTTTGTGGGGAAGGTGTTTTGGGAGAGGGAAAGGCAGGCTGTTTACTCCAGCAATCCCTACATGGTTCAGGTTGTTTCCATTATATCCTTAGCCCCTGTGGACAATTAGTTTTAATTTCTGTTCTAGCCTCCCCTCCTTATAGTTTGACTTCGAAAACTAGTCTCTTAAGATCTCACAAGTTTCTAACTTTAGGAACACATTGTCATTCTGAGGCATAGTCTAAATGTGGTAGTAATCCTTATGAGGAAATAGAGTATTTGATGGAGTTTATCCCTTAGGATCTAGTCAGTACTGGTTCCCACATATGTATAAGTATACAACATAATCCACATGCCTAGATTGCAACTTTACCCATTTTTCTAATAAAATAACCAATTATTTTCATCTGATATTTATGTTGGTATAAATATAAAATGATGTTTATATATATATATACAATATATATATTCTACTTTCAGCAGAATGGAAGGCCACTTTTGATTTGATTTGATTTGATTTGTGTTCTATATGGTAGTAAGTACAGTTTATAGCTCCAAAAGAGTACATGTATATGATGGAGGACAGCGGGTTGAACTTAGCCTGCAGTACAAAATGATTTGTTTTTAGTTACAAACATGAATTTTTATTTTCTGATTCTCTTTACAGTATACAATACTTGTGGTCTTTTAATACTAGATCTACATTGAATTAATGTTGGTATATGATTTACTAAAGAACATGGTTTATATTACTCTCCAGTTTGTACTGTTAAACACATATTGCCAATAATAGTATTAACTCAGAGTTTCAACCTGTCAAATTTGAGCATTGGGAACCCAAGAGAGTTAAATATGGACTTTAATTTAGCCATGACTAGAATATCCACCTTCTTCAAAATCATCTGCCAGATAAATAGATTGATGGATCTTTAAAGACTTGAATAGATAACTCTAGATTTAGATGTAAATGCCCCATGTAATTAAATTATATTGATAATATAAATATCCTGACCAATGTTGATAATGAACAACATGGCCAGAGGAGAAGGTCATAGCCAGTCATAAATTAACGTTACAATGTATCCGTGATGTGGTGTACATAACAGGCGTGGGTGATGATTTTGTTGACCAGCCTAGAACAGTCAAGAAAATGATTTTGAGAAATACCAACAAAATAACTGAAAAAGATAGGTATTGGTGACCCTTTAGGTTTATGAGCTAATCTTGCTTATTTATAATCATTAAAGTGGCATATATTTATAGCATTGTTTAGAAATAAACTTAGTAGAACATTGCAGAAGATTGACATCAGCTAAATGTTGAGAATAAAATTGTAAATGCATGGAGGACAGATTCCTGAAGTCCGAGTTTGGTGCTGTTCCATCACGATGTCTTCTTCTTGTTTTAGGTTTTTTGAGACAGGGACTCAATTTCGTAGCTCAGGCTAGCCTGGAATTCCAAAAACCTCAGGCTTGAATCTAACCCATGGTTATCCTCCTCTCATGTTCTCTAATGCTAGGGTTGTAGGTATGCTTGATAGTTCATTGAGCTTAGAAGTGAATTTCAAGTTGTTACCCCCAAACGTTGTCGCTATTGAATAAGCCTCCGCGGACACTGTTGAGATGTTTGTTTTCATCCAGTATCTTCCTTGTACTTGCTGATTTGTCATTCCAGGGTGTGGACAGACCCCTAAGCTGAACGTCTCCCCGAGGAGGATGCCAAAGCTCCATGAGTCACTCTCAGAATAATATCTCCCATACTTAAGAGCTTCTGGTGCTGTCCATTTTATGGGAATCTGCTTTAAGTCAGAAGATGCATACACACCACCATCCTTTTGACGAGACATTCCAAAGTCACTGATTTTCAGAACATTATTTTCACCTGCAGGCAATTTCTTGGAGCAAGGTCCCTGTGCATACAATTTTTACTTGAGATATGCCATCCAGAAGCAGCATCTAATGAAAAATTCACTAACTGACTTTTAGTTCACCCTTCTTTCTCAGAAAGGAGAGGAAATTGCCTCCTGGAACCAATTCCTTAATGATGTAGATAGGTTGCCTTTGTGTGTGAACTCTATAAGTGTGAAAACATTGGGATGATTATGTTGTTTGGAGGGTTTTGGCTTCTTGTAAAAAATTTAATTCCAGTTCCTGGGAAAGATCTTTATATGCTTTAACAGCAACAACATTTTTATCCTTTAATGTACCGTTAAATATATCATCAAAAGTTTTCATGTCCTTAAGGAATTCTCCTGTGACATCATCAGACTGAGACCCCATTTCATGTGGATACCATGACGTTCTTTTTTTTTTTTTTTGGAACATTACATAGACATCATCATGACCAAGGACCATCATGTGAATATTATGATGTTTTTTTATTGGGACATTATTCATTTTCAATCTAAAAAAACGGAGATGCAGTCACCGTTTGAAAGTGGACGATTCAGTGGTCTTTAGTATATTTATTGTGTGGTACAGTCATCACCATAGTCTAATCTCAACATTTCTCTGACCTGCAAAAGAAGCCCCATGCAGGTCAGCAGTCACTTTTAACTCTCCTTTTACTCTAGCCACTGTAAGCTACTGACACATTTTCTGTCTATGAATTTGCCTGGTTTGGGACATTTCATTTAAATGGAATCGTGCAATATCATGTCCTTTGGGGCCAGGGTTCTTTCATCTACGCATCATGTTATCAAGACATATCCCATGGTGTAGCATGTGTCAATAATCCATTCCTTTTTATGGCTAAATGTTCCATAGAGTGAATGTGTATCATGTTTTGTTTACCCATTTATCAATTGATGAACAGGAACAGTTATTTTTTTAAGTATTAAAATCGTAAGTTCAACATCATTGTATCTAAAATTATAATGGATGGTGTCAAGATTATACATGGTATGCACAGAATGCTGTGTAGAAATGATGTATAAATTATTTGTCAGCATTTCATGCAAGTGTGATTATTTTCTAAGGCCCCTTCTAGCTATGATTTTAGAAACTGTGTGAATGTAGTTTCATTAATAAAGTTTAATGCATTAAGCATTAATTTAAAGTTTGAGAACAATGTTAGGCAGATATGAAATTATTTGCCACATGCTGTAATGATGATGTTTTGAATTTATTTCATTATGCAGTATTTGAAAAATGTCTACATAAAGGAAAGGAAATGAGTATAATTGAGTCAATATATTTTTAAAGCAATTTTTATAATTTAGCAGACATTGCATCTTAATATAATTCACTATTAAAATTGTGTCCTTGTGAAAAAAATTGACGTCATTTTTCTATTTCTTTTGACTTATCATGTAAAATAGGTTCCTTTCCTTTGCTCCATGTTGTGTTTATTTTTCATACTTTATTCCTTGCGCCTGTAGTGTTGTACCTGTTACTCTTTAATCTTTTTCTCTCTATCCCACAGATCTTCCACTCTCTCACACACAGAAAATGTACAGTGTTTCTTAAAATTCATAGTGTCTTAATGATTTCTAAGAATGGACAAAGACACAGAACTATTTCATCATTTTTGGGGAACTTCATCCCGGCCTTTGGTATTGACAGAATTCTGAGGTTTTTTCCTGAATGTTTTTTCCTTCTTTTGCCTTTATCACTTTTTAGCCCTCCCACTCTGTCCTTTTCTTTCCCTGCTATGGCCTTCCTTGTCACTTTCTTCCTTAGCCTCTTCTTGTTTATCAACACAACTAATTTGTTTCTTTCAGGTCGAAAGAATGAAATGAACTCATACAACTGTGACCAGAATTTTATTTTCCTGAGTAGATTTCTGAGAATTGTGAATGAAGTGGGTCCATTTTCAGTTATCTGCTTTATTGCTCCATGCAGAAAACCTAAAATTGTTGTGTTGTATGTTATTGTACTTTAACTTGTTGCTTAGTTTCTACATGTTTATTTTCAGTACTGGCTGAAAGTGTTAATTATTCCATATTTTAGCACAATGTGCTGCATATACTTCCCAATAAGCAAATAAGTGTGTACAGAATTTCACTTTTGATTTAATATTGCCTGGGTTTCGGTCCCTCCTCCCCATTTGAAATGCTTCCTTTTTAATGTTTGAAACTGAAAATAAACAGTTATTGAATGATTTTGAATTTACCTCATTTTAGAACTCAGTTTTAATTTATTTGGCCTTTTTTAATATTAGTCACTAAAAATAAAGTGGAGCACTGTCTTATGCAACGCCTAAGAATCATTTTATATAGTATGTGTACAACATTAAAACCTGTTCTACAAAGAAAAATATACCAGCGCTCACTGTTCCTTGCCATTTTTTCTTGTAATTAGGAAATATCGGGGGGGGGGGGGAGAAGGGAATTAAAAAATTAATTGTGTTTTAATTTTACAGCTACCGGAGCTTTGTATTGCTAAACTTACATCTGGAAAAGTTTCACAGTGAAGTTTTTAAGAGAATTTTTTATCTGCTGAATTCTACCAGTGTAACCATTTTTCTAAATAAACAATAGTTTTCTCAAATGACTATATCATTGTGTATATTGTTACTTATTTAGCATAACTTAGAAAAGTTAATAATCTTTCAGCCCTTAATTTTTTCATGGGCTACATTGTCAAATATCATTATATTATTTCTGTACTTGGAGCAAGCCCTTGGATGAAAACATGCCTAATACTATCCATTTCTCAATGTTTCGATGATTATATCTAGACAAATAAAAATTTTCAGAGTTGAAAAAGAATATACCTTTTAAAAAGAGGGTTAAGAAATGATGAGCCTCTTAGTATTGGCAAAAGAATATACATTTTGGTGTCCATTTTTGTGTAATTATTATTTGCAGAAGATGAGCAGAACAATTAATTGTGGGAGTGTGGTTTGTGCTTTGACTGTTGAATACGTATAGCATACCTGACACAAAATATCTCAAAAGAAAATGATCTTCATTAAAGTGATTTCTGACTTTGAGAAAATACCTGATTTTTCCTTGAAATCGTCAGTGTTTAAGAAGAACTTTATGTTTCTTAATAATTGCACTCATGTTTTAAGGACTACATAGCTATAAGAATAGGATAAACCTTGACATGGAAAAGGCTGGCAAAATTATAGCCAATAATATATTAAATTGGGAATAACTTTCATTTAAAATCTGGAATGAGAGTTCTGATCCATTTTTTACTTCAGTACTTACATTTACTACTTGAGTGTCTTAGCTAGAACACTAAGACGAGAAGGAAAGGGCAAAGAAGGCAAGCTTTGTTTATTAAAATACAAATGAAATGCCACTAAGACTAGATCTATATTTACCATGAACAAAAATCTAATTCAAATGGATTAAAGGTTTTAGCTAAAGACCTGAAGCGGAAATTGATAGGGGAATGTACAGTCAAGATACAGACATACAATGACTTTAGAAAAGGCCCTTAAATAAAGCATCAAATAATGCCGACAGTTGATTAATGGGAATTCATAATATTAAAGAGCTTCTGGGCAGAAAAGGAAACAAGCAGAGTGAAGAGACAATCTACAGAATAGGAGGACAGCTTTGCCAACCTACAGAAGATGGGATTAATATCAAATATACTTTTCAGATGGGCAGTGGATAATTCTCAAAATGCAAATGACCAGCAAACATGTAAAGTTCAACATACTAAGCAATCAAGGAAATGCGACTAGAAACTACATTGAGGTTCAATCTTAACCTCAGGATGGCCATCATCAAGAAAACATGGCAAGTGTTGCCAAGGGTATAAAGAGAACCCTTACATATTGGTTGGGAGTGTAAAATGGAGCAGCCAGCATCAGTGTGAAAATTCCTTAAATGACTGAAAATAGAACTACCATGAAATCCAGTGATACCATTCTGGGATTAATATACTAGAAATGCTCTCTGTCTTTGACCCACAGACATACTTATGTATCTGTTTTAGTGCTTCATTGTTCATAATAGTCAAGAAACCAGCCTTTCCCCCCATAATGGGTAATGAAAATGTATACATAATGAAATGTAATTTGTGGGAAAATAGCTGGAAGTTGAGATGATCATATTAAGAAAAATAATGCAGAACCAGACTGATTTTGAACTACATAGTTGATAGTCATTAGCATTTTTGGAGCGTGAGATAGGAGATCACTGTGTATTCCAGCCAGGCCTTGAACAATTTTCATTTAGCCTAATCAGTTCTGGGAGTGCAAATGTGCATCATCATGTCCAGCTAGCATTTTTCCCTTGGCTAGTAAATAAAAGTAATCTTTAGCTGGGATGTTAAAAAGGAATACATTAATGTAGTATTTATGTACTCTTTAAAAAAATGGTTGTATGTGTGATGTGGGAAGGTCATTTGTCAATCTGTTGTTTCATTGGTTAATCAATTAAGAAAACTGCTTGGTCTGATAGGTAAGAAAATTAGGTAGGTGGAATAGACAGTACAGAATGATAGGAAGAAAGGAAGTGATCCAGATGCCATGCCTCTCCTCTCTGGTCAGATGTGATGGAGCAAGCCGCCAGGTCAGACATGCTGAATCTTTCCTGGTAAGACACCACCTCGTGGTGCTACACAGATTACTAAATAGGGGTTAAGCAAAATATAAGAATTAGCCAATAAAGAAGCTGAAACTAATGGGCCAGGCAGTATTTGAATGAATACAATTTGTGTGTTATTTCGGATATCAAGCTAGCCGGGCGGGACGAAAAGCAGGCCTGCCGCTCCTTCTACATATGTGTGTATCTGTCTGCGTGTATGTACACACTGCATGCATGCAGGTGCCTGAGGAGCCCAGAAGGCCCTGGAATCTGTAATTGAAGTTACGTGGTTATGTTCTGCCTGATAAGGATGCTGGAAACTTAATCTGAGTTGCCTGCAAGAATTCAAGTGCTTTTATTTGCTGAGCCATCTCTCCAGGTCCATAGCTTTGCTTTTAACTGCAAATAAAATAAGTTATGTTGGAAGTAGGAGATTTAAATTTGTAATATGATAACTGCTTCTGAACATCTACTTGTTTTTGTACAAGAGGTTAAAAACCATTTCCTGTTTTGAGAGTGCTTCTGACCATGTTTAAAAAGGTGTCCAAATATTTTTTCTCTAAAGCACCAGGTAGTAAATATTATTTGAGACTTGTGGTCATGTGTTCCTCTTGCACCTTTTCAGAGCTGTGGATGTAGTAAAAAAAAAGTCATACTTTATCAATGAGTGTGGCTACAGTCTAAGGAAATTTTATTTACAGAAACAAATGGGAACCTGGATTTAGTGTACAGGCTCTAGTTAGAAATATGAGTCCTGATACAGAGTATTTTTTCTTTGGGAGAGTCATTCAAAAATGTGTTTTAAGTGCCCCTATATCCTAGGGGCAGAACTAAACAAGTGTTTACCCTCATGGACCATCTACTCTAGTTAGTGGAGTCAGACACCAATACATAATGTTAAACAAAGGAAGATAACTAGGAGGAGACTGAGTGAGGCAAGGCTTACTACTGTTCATACAGCAGAATTATGCCATGGGGGTGAATAAAACATTTTGTGGTAGTTAGTGTGATATGAATATGTTATTTTTACAAGAGGCAGGATCTCTGTAGGTCAGGCTGCTTTCACACTGTAGCTATTGGAAGGCCTTATATTCCTGACTCATCTGCTCAGTGCTGAGGTTATATGTGTGTGCCTCCACAACTGGCCGTGGCATAAACTTTTGCTCTATTGCTCTGTGCTTTTGATAACCTTGCTGTGTAGTTCTTGCTGGCCTTAAATTTGTGGCAAACTTCCTGTGTCGGCCTCCTGAGTACTGTTCACTGCCACGCCCAGTTTGAATATTTTATTTACCAAGTGATGTGAGAATGAAATACCCATGATGCCCAGCCCACTTTTGAAACTTAAATGCATGTCATGGAATATGCAGAATCTGAATTTTAGTGACTTTGAAGTTTGTCAGTTATCTGGAAATGTCTTCTTAGACTTTGTTATTAGTTCTGGAGATATTTATATTTCAGATAAGATCCCAGCATCTTTCATAGAATCTTCCTGTAACTAAAGAACTGAAGACTGAAAGAAACTTATTTGCATTCACCAAGAAGCCAAGTTTTTTTTATTCAGGTAATAAAACTGGAAGCACCAGGCTTGGTGGCACACACTTTCGGTCCAGCACTTGGGAGACGGGGGCAATTGGATCTTTGTGAGTATGAGGTCTTGATTTACTTAGTTCCGGGTCAGCCAGTGCTAAGTAATGCAACCCTGTCTCAAAAGCAAATCAAACAAAATGGAAGAAAGTATTTTGAATGTCCAGAATGTTAGTGGCTGGGTGAAACCTCAGTCTGTAGTTGTATGGTTACTTCTCTAACAACAAAAGTGGTCCAGGCATGCAGATTTTTGATGATTTGTGTCTGGTCCAGGAAAATAATTTTGAGTGTTTACAACAAGTTGAAGAACTTGGGGTTTATGATAACATTCCTTTTTTTTTATTTTTGCTATTGAAATTTGCTTTTTTCATATATTTTTTGATTCTGATTGACCCTTCCCCAACTTTTCCTAGATCCTACCCACCCACATTGACATCCTTTTTGATCTCTTGTTAGAAAACAATTGTCTAGAAATATTAAGATAAAATAAAAAACAAACCTGAATAGGACAAAACAGATGAACAGAAAAACAAAGAGCTGAGGAAAAAGCTCAAGAAACAAATGTAGCTGCAGGGAAATACACATTGGCATGAACAAAAGTTTTTAAAAACATAAAATTGGAAGCCATAATATATGTTAAAAACCCAAAGGGTAAGGGAAAAAAAGCTCATTTAAATTACTATGAGGAGGAAATAAAAACAAACATACCTCCAAAATATCCTTGAGTTCTTTTTTTGTTGACCATCTACTGCTGGTCATAGGGCCTGAACTTAGAGAATGGTTTATATCTGAGTGGTGGTGGTGCACGCCTTTAATCCAAGCACTTGGAGACAGAGACAGGTGGATCTCTGTGAGTATGAGGCCAGCCTGGTCTACAGAGCGAGTTTCAGGACAGGCTTGAAAACTACAGAGAAACCCTGTCTTGAAAAGTAAATGAACAAAGTCGGGGGGGGGTTGTGTTCGTCCACTTCTCAGCATTGAGACCCCATTTGGTACAGACCTGTGAAGGTTATGTGCATGCTTGCCACAGTGTGAGTTCTTATGTGCAGTATGTGTTTAGAAGACCCTGTTTCCTAGATATTGTCTATCCCCCCTTCCCCTGGCTCTTAACAACCTTTTTCTTTCTATTCCTCCTCAGGATTCCCTGATTCATTGGGTGGGGGTGGGGGATTAATGGAGACATCCCATTTTTAGACCAAATGTTCCAGTGTCTCTCATTTTCTGCACCTTGTTCAGCTGTGATTTTCTGTATTCCTAATACAGGAGGAAGCTTCTTTGATAATGACTGAGCAGGACGTTGATCTATGAGCATAGCAGAATGTCCTTACAAGTCACTTTGTTGTTAACATTCCCTTAGCAGAACAGTAGTTGGTTTTTCCCTAGCCTGTCAGGTTCTTGTCCACCCTAGCAGTATCGGGCATGGGTTCTATCTCATGAAATGAGCCTTAAATCAAAAAAAAAAATAGTGATTGGTTAGTCCCACAAGCTTTGTGTCACAGTTTAACTATTATATCATACAGGCAGGTTACCACTTCAGATTGAAGAGTTTTTAGCTGGGTTGGTGTTTGCATTTCTCCTTTGGTAGCATCAGAGTGCTTTTTGTTATAGTGAACACTAGTGAATAGGAGTGAAAGGCTCTAAGTAGGCCCCAGTTCAACTTTTTCATGTTCAGTGAGTTGTATAAGTGTCTTCAGCAATA